AATTTGACAATCTTTCTTCAAGAGGCAACGCAGTAAAGACCTTTAATGACAGAACTATGTGTCATCTTTGCCTATAAGCATAAATTGGCACAGCGGGCAGTACAGTGAAAACAGCTTATCATCAACTCATCACCTCTCATCATTGTTAGAATGAAATGCAAATGAAAACGAACATCACTTCAGTCATGGTTGTGAAAATTAGCATCTGTGACATTAGCAGTGGCTCATTTATTATGCACTCAAAATTTCAGGGGAAAAGAAAAGAATATAAAACTTGCTATTTTCAGAACTCTACCAGTCTTTACCTTTGAAATAAAATTAAACCCCTCAGCTTTCACCACTCAAGGATAAATCCTAGTTAATATTCATTAACACTGAGCAATCTCTTCACTGCAGATCTTGTCCTACACAAGATCTAATTATGTCTTGAAGTATTTTCGGTGTTTAGGTTTGCTGTACCTATTTTCTATTTTCTTTTCTTTAGTAAGTATTCCCCATTAGAGAGTTATGAGCCACTGTCGAAGAAAAAAGCAGCACCAAAAAACTTGCTTATAGCATCTGTCTGCACTACAGGCTCCAAACACCTAGACAAGCGATAAACTTTACTCAGATGACAAATCCCATTGAAATCAATGGTATCACAGCTAATTTATTCATTTAAGTGTTTTCAGAATCAGGATCAGGCCTTCTGTGAAGAATATATTAAAAAGGGAAATCCTGGCTTCAAGTCTATGGCAAAAATGTGCATTGATTTCTGTGGAGGCAGGGTTTCATTTAAAGCTTGTAAAAAGGAAAATTACTGGTATAAAATAGTGCTAGGGAACAAAGTTGCATATTAAAATATTTCCTCCCATTGGATTTGCCACTATTTTCTCATAAACCTGAAAATAAATAATAGTTTATCACCTAAGTAAGTGAATATTGATTTAATTAGAAGGTTGGACATATTTTTGCCTAAACAAAGTGCACAGGCATTGACCCTGAATTGTCTTACACACCAGAAGTAAGCTGAGTTTCAAGCACCAAGTGCATTTGGAAGCAGAATAAGGAAACAAAAATGTCTCAAACCTTTAGCATAAACATAGATCAACTGTCACGTAGAATAATGACACAAGACTTTCTTCAGTCAAGCCAGAAAAAATGGCACAAAGTCGCCTTTGCTTCAGCTTGAAGTAAGGCCAAGAATTATCAGGCAGTTCTCAAGTTTGCTATGGCTGTAGGAATTTGAGAGAGAGAGAAAGAGAAAGAGAGAGAGAGAGAGAGAGAGAAAGAAATAGGCTCTACCCAGCACATTACATCCTGTGAACTGGGCAAGACAATATGGGTATATTTTACAGATTATTTGCATCTTTCATTGTCATTTGCAGCTGATCGAATGTGTAAAACAGTGCAAAGTGGAATGCAGAGTAGCTGCTGAATGCTTTGTGTTTTATGTTATGGTGCCAGGATATGGTGCTGCCTGAAAGCATATGAAAAAGAGAAGATTAGATCCTGTATGGTTTCTTAGAATGTTTTTTCTTACCATCTTTCTAAATCTGCTTCATGCCACTCTCCAGATACAGTGACATCTGTAAAGTCACAAGAACCAAAGAGGCTAAAACTTAGGTGATTTTAGGGGCCTTTGTTTAATTACTTAAGCCAACTGCTCTCCTCCTCCCCAGCTCTCTAAGGGGTGATGGAACAGATTGCACAAACTGAAACACATCTAGTAGCAACGTTCTTCCCCACCACTTGCTATAGCACTGTCCTACTCTGCAACTAAAACTCTAGCATTGCAGAAGACACATGCTCTCCCTGCAGTGAGCTGGCCAGCAGCATGACCACAAACCTCAAGGCTAGGTGCAAGACCTTGTTTGCTTGACCTCACTTGCCCAAAGATAATACTGCAGCTCAGAACAGCTACACCATATAAACCAAGACATGTCTTGTCTGACAGGAAAGAAAGGGAGGCAGGTGAGGGCTGTAAGGAAGCGCTGAGAAAAAGCTGCCTCTTAGTGGATGTCCTGATGGGAGAGGTACAGATTCTGTTGTGGTAGAAAGTCATTTAAGGTCCTGGACATACAGATAGGTTAGTTTAGACAGGCATGAAATAGAGAGCTTAGAGCTTCAATTTGTTGAATTTCTTCAGTATTTAACAAGGGTATTTTAAAGCCTTAGGACTTCAACTATCTGGGTCCTCAGCTGATGTACAAGGTATAAATGTACCATGGCAGTACATGCAGCTACAAGGATCAGAATCCTTCCAGTATGTCTTCTGAAAACATTTCTCTCACATTTGTCTCCGTGTTTTCTCTGGGATGACACCAGGTGTAGGTGTTTTGTGCCTAGCAATGAATGTTTATTTATTTAGTTTACATACAAAGCATACAGTAGTTATATGCATATCCATGTACATGCAAAAGCTGCCAGATACGTGAAGAATTTATTAGCATGACTGCAGCATTACAGAAATCCTGCTATGTAATGAAACAAACTGCCACACTACTATTTCATGGCAATGGAAAAGTATCAACCCTTTCATAGCAGACACTGAGAGTTGTAAAATGTTACTTTCCTGTCTGTGTAGCACCTAATGCATCTGCACAAGTCCCTTAAGCACTACAGTAATCAACAAAGAAAAGTAAATGCATTGCACACACAGAACTGGCAGTTAAGATACTGAAAATCTGTATTAGTTCTTTGTTGGTCATTGATGTGCCCACCACTACTAGAGGCTTTGTACAGGGACAGGAGTTGCCTCAAGAAGGGTTTTAACACCAGCCTTGCATGGTATTCCTTCATCTTTAACAAAAGGCATAACTGGATGCCAATATTCTTCACTTTAGAAAGTAGTAAAAACAAAAGAGTTGAAAAGAAAATCCTGGTGAAACACTTAAATTAATGCACAGAAGTTAATCCAATCTTGATAAAGACAAGTGGTCACTATGGGTATGATTCAGTTACCTAAAAGATCTTTTTGGTGTCCTCTTTGCAGGTCTAAGGTAGCAAACCTGACTTTTGCTAACATCTCAGACCTCATGGCTCTCCCATAGGTCTTCTGTCAGCCCTGTATGGATATGTTGGAGACTTTGGGACATCTAGGTCACCTAAAGGCAAGGTGGGGCAGCCTAAGACCCTCCACAGTGACAATGACATACTGCTTTCTGAGTATTTGGTGGTACCAGATGTTGCCAGAGCAGAGGCACCCAGGAAATGATCTAGCGAAGTCACTTGTGAAATCCTGTAACTTCTGTCGGGAGGTAAGGACCTGCACCCGATGTTACCCAATTCTGTATTAAGCAACTTCAGCATTTGCGTTGCTTATGCAGGGCATGGTTTGAAACATGCTACAAGAAGCTAAGATTTCTGTTCTGTGTGATGCAGAGATGTCTCCTTCCGGGCCCTTTTTGTGAATAGCACATGCAGCAAAAACCTTCTCCTCATGGAAATTTCTCACAATTCTGTGCAAAAGCGGGGCTACAGTAAGTGAAAGTGTTTCAAAGCACATTACTGAGGCAGAAGGACATCCTGAGCCACTTCACCAAGACCTTTCAATTTTTGTAAACATTTACAATAAGACAAAGTCAGCAAGGCAAAGTCGGCAGGTTTGACACTCAGTCAAGTGGTTAGACTCTTTTTATCCCTGCTCTACACATACGGTGAATGAAATCTCTGACCATGAGATTTTTTTTTTGAGAAACCGTAACACCAGCATTTTAATAGCACAGAGTGCAATCATGAATGAATAACTAATTGTATGGATAAAAATAATTTTAAAAGCCCAACCAAAATTCAGAAGTTGTTAAGGAATGTATGATTCTGGAAGAACAGAGTGACCAAAATTTGCTTTTGAAATTATTTGTCAGACAGGAAAACAAAGCCACAGACTCTCTTGTGGTCATTTCTTTCTTAACCTATAGTGTAATTAGATATTAATTATATCTCTGCCCTGTCTTTAAAAAACAGTATGATGATTGAAGAGAAGAAAATATGTACCGTTAACGAAATGCTTAAAAACCCATTCAAATCCATGGGAAAATGGGTTCAGAATAGTTTCAAGTCCATGGAAAAAAACATTAATTTTAATTGTTGATAGTCTAAAACCTCAAGCGCAATAAACAAAAGCCAATGCTGAGTAACACGAGAAGACATTCCTGC